TCACCAGACAGACCACTGTCACCGGAGGGGACGTGTGACTACTGAGGTGTCAGCAGGGGTCACAGGTCAGGTCACCAGACCGACCACTGTCACCGGAGGGGACGTATGACTACTGAGGTGTCAGCAGGGTCACAGGTCAGGTCACCAGACAGACCACTGTTACCGGAGGGGACGTGTGACTACTGCGAGGTCATCATGGGTCACAGGTCAGATCGCCAGACCGTCCACCGTCACCGGAGACTACTGAGGTGTCAGCAGGGTCACAGGTCAGGTCACCAGACAGACCACTGTCACCGGAGGGGACGTGTGACTACTGAGATGTCAGCAGGGGTCACAGGTCAGGTCACCAGACAGACCACTGTCACCGGAGGGGACGTATGACTACTGAGATGTCAGCAGGGGTCACAGGCCAGGTCACCAGACAGACCACTGTCACCGGAGGGGACGTATGAATACTGAGGTGTCAGCAGGGTCACAGGTCAGGTCACCAGACAGACCACTGTCACCGGAGGGGACGTATGACTACTGAGATGTCAGCAGGGGTCACAGGTCATGTTACCAGACAGACCACTGTTACCGGAGGGGACGTGTGACTACTGCGAGGTCATCATGGGTCACAGGTCATGTCACCAGACAGACCACTGTCACCGGAGGGGACGTATGACTACTGAGGTGTCATCAGGGGTCACAGGTCAGGTCACCAGACAGACCACTGTCACCGGAGGGGACGTGTGACTACTGAGGTGTCAGCAGGGGTCACAGGTCAGGTCACCAGACCGACCACTGTCACCGGAGGGGACGTATGACTACTGAGGTGTCAGCAGGGTCACAGGTCAGGTCACCAGACAGACCACTGTTACCGGAGGGGACGTGTGACTACTGCGAGGTCATCATGGGTCACAGGTCAGATCGCCAGACCGTCCACCGTCACCGGAGACTACTGAGGTGTCAGCAGGGTCACAGGTCAGGTCACCAGACAGACCACTGTCACCGGAGGGGACGTATGACTACTGAGATGTCAGCAGGGGTCATAGGTCATGTCACCAGACAGACCACTGTCACCGGAGGGGATGTTTGACTACTGAGATGTCAGCAGGGGTCACAGTCCAGGTCACCAGACAGACCACTGTCACCGGAGGGGGCGGACACCGGGGTGTCCGCCACTACGTAATATTCTGTCGAAATTATGATGCCCAAAGGAAAACACTATTTGATAACGCTTCTCGTATACTGAGAGAAAATTTTGCAAATTACTCACCCGACCAAAAATTGAACATTCTTATCCACGGAGATCGCTTGAGTGGCGAGGGCAGTCGAGAAATGGCTTACGCCTTTCAAAAGTTTTTGACAAAAACAAATAGATTTTCGTAGTAACAAATAAATTCATTCAGTTTTCAAAATTTGCAATCCCGAGGACTGAGCGGCTGATGGAACACCAAAATTTACCGCTCATGAGCGACTGGTCAGCGGCGGCGGCGGTTGTTTCACATGTTTTATTTTTGTTTCAGAGTGGTGCCTCGAGTTAAGCGATTGCGCTTTTGCACCACTCTGCTATCACTTTTATGTTGCTACATTGTGCCATATGTTTCATTGATCATGCTTTATTTCTCGTGTATCTTTTGTTCCTTAATAAACGTTTTGTGTGTGTGTGTGTGTGTGTGTGTGTGTGTATGACTACCTACTGAGGTGTCAGCAGGGTCACAGGTCAGGTCACCAGACAGACCACCTTCACCGGAGGGGACGTATGACTACTGAGGTGTCAGCAGGGGTCATAGGTCATGTCACCACACCGTCAACTGTCACCGGAGGGGATGTTTGACTACTGAGATGTCAGCAGGGGTCACAGGTCAGGTCACCAGACAGACCACTGTCACCGGAGGGGACGTATGACTACTGAGGTGTCAGCAGGGGTCACAGGTCAGGTCACCAGACAGACCACTGTCACCGGAGGGGACGTATGACTACTGAGGTGTCAGCAGGGTCACAGGTCAGGTCACCAGACAGACCACTGTCACCGGAGGGGACGTATGACTACTGAGGTGTCAGCAGGGGTCATAGGTCATGTTAAACAGACCGTCAACCATCACCGGAGGGGATGTTTGACTACTGAGATGTCAGCCGGGGTCACAGGCCAGGTCACCAGACAGACCACTGTCGCCGGAGGGGACATGTGACTACTGAGATGTCAGCAGGGGTCACAGGCCAGATCACCAGACCATTCACCGTCACCGGAGACTACTGAGGTGTCAGCAGGGGTCACAGGCCAGGTCACTCAGACAGACCACTGTCACCGGAGGGGACGTATGACTACTGAGGTGTCAGCAGGGGTCACAGGTCAGGTCACCAGACAGACCACTGTCACCGGAGGGGACGTATGACTACTGAGGTGTCAGCAGGGGTCACAGGTCATGTCACCAGACCGTCCACCGTCACGAGAGGGGACTGGTCTGTCTGGTGACCTGACCTGTGACCCCTGATTACCTCTCAGTAGTCACCTGTTGTCTCTGGTGACGGTGGCCCGTCTGGAGACCCACGTGACCTGGCCTGTCACCCATGCTGTCCTCCCAGTAGTCACCTGTCCCACCTGGGGATTGTGGCCGTCTGGTGACCCCACGTGACCTGGCCTGGGAATTATGCTGAGTCCTGACACTCTGCAGACGGTGGTCTATTCCGCGACCTCACAAGATCTCACCTGTCTGACCTCTGCTGTCCTCTCAGCAATCACCTGTCCCCTCTGGAGATGATGGTTCACCTGTGAAATCACCAGACCCTCCACCATCTCAAGAGAAGAGGCACGCTGACAGGTCACGAAATCTCACCGATGTAAGGTGGCCTCACCAGACTTCAGAGGTGTTGTGGGATGCACACTGAGATGGTGTGGGGCCTCTCAGCACCTTTTGCCTCAGACTTGGGAGAGGCTTTGTATGTAGACTAATTATCCTTGTGGTGACATGACCATTAAAAGTCAGTGATATTAGTGGTCTGTTCCTTAGCCAGCTGTAAGCTGATGTGGTAACCTTGAACCCAGCTGTCCAGTATGTGCTGTGTGTCATAGGTGCTCACATAGAAGTGTCTTGGGTGCAGTGCATAGCTTTGTAGTGCCTGTAAGTCATGTGTCTCACATGACTGTGCTCCACACCAGCAGTGGCAAGTGACAATTGTTGTTTTCTGCTCTCAACACATCCTCAGCCTTGTCATAAAAAGAGAGGTAGGTACGTAGAACATAATTTATCTTCCTTCAAAATACATAATGACACTTTAAACACACAGCTACTCAAGCTAGGGCAATGCTATCAGAAATACCAGAAGTTATAAGAGGTTATACAGTGATACCCTTTGCACAGAAGTCATTTGTACGGCACCTCAAAGTGTGAAGATCGTCCTTGCTGTTGTCACGAGTCAACGTAACATTCTGAACCACAATCTATCATCAATGATAGTGCGTGCCACCAGGTGCCTTGCACTAGGATGTCTCGTAGAACACAAGCACAAGCACAAGCAAGACATGCAACTTGAACTAGGCACACATTGCATCCAGACAGACTATGAGCAGCGTCTCGAGTAAATACTTGCCATTTCTACCAACTACCTTATAGCAGACTCACTATTGCAACTCTGTCATGCGAATCCAACTTACATCTAGCTGTGGAATAATTGGCGCAACTCTCTGTCATTCACTGTTTCCTTACTTCTCGATCAGATGGAAGGAGGATATGAAACAGGAGAGTCTAACAGGTGAGCATCAGCACATCATCAGACATGTGCTTATGGTTTGATCACTAAGGCACAAGAAACTTTGGGATTGTGTTACCATTCCCAACCTAAGAAGACTGCACCTTTTTGCAGACATTCCACACCACAAGACATGTGCAAATCTCTCGCATTGGGTTCTGCACAGTTCCATCATGTTCCAACCCATCTCCAGAGCCATGTTCCTGCAGCAATGCAATCCAGGATCTTGTAAAACGTGCTTTATTTCACAGTCTAAAGCTTCTGGCAACCTTATGCCTATCAAAATGGAAAATTAAAACAATTCATATTAGGAGCACTTTTCTTGCCATGACCACCCAATCCAGCAGTTCGCACATTGAAACGCTGTGAAAATAGCCAGTATCCTTTTAATCTTGGGACGATCAGTCTTAATCTTGAGTGATTACCAGATTATTTGAGCAAATAGACCTTCGATTATTCGATTAAAACCAGCACAATATCACCCATGACCACACCACGATTTTCACACAGAAATATTGTTTGCGCCAATTTGGTCTGCCATGCGTCATAAAGCCAATCAATTGATTCTTATTTTTGATCTTTGATTTCTCAGTTTTTTAGGCTTGCCGCGCTTAGATTTTATCACCATCGTGATCAGGAGATTTTAATCTATCGCTGGGATAAATTTCAATAGATTCCTAGGGGTCCGCACATAAATTTTATTTTGTAAAAGGCAACCACGCATAATTTGGTAATGTCATATCTCAGCTCGTAGGGCGTGCCGCGCCTAGATATTAACACCATTGTGATCAGAAGATGAAAATATATAGTAGAAATGAGTTTCAAAAAATTCCTAGGGGTCCGCATACAATGTATTTTTGATAATGGGCAACGGTGCGTGACCTTTGACCTCTTATGACTCCGTTCGTAGGTCGTGCCGCGCTTATTTATAATCAACATCGTAATCAGAAGATTTTATTGTATCAGTGGACCAATTTGCAAGAGATTCCTAGTGGTCCGCTGATAGTTTTTATCATTTTTTTCCACGCGAATACGAATTTGACGCCAAATATACGCACATACAGACCACAGCCTGTCTTGTGCGTCAGAGCAACTAAAACTAAAAAGGGAAGTGAAGGATATATGATGCCATATCAAATATGGTAGCATTTCATTTCTCACGCAAGCGATTCAGTTCCGCCGCAAACGTTCTTTTGCGTGGGATATTGATATTGGGGATGCTGGGGATATTGCAGGCATCGGTAGGATTGTGATTGCAGGATTGCAAAATCCTGATTGCATTCCTTTTTGGTGGATTGCACCTGGGTTTGAAATCCATTCCAAAAACAGGATTTGATTGCGGATTGGATTGCATCATACTTCCAATTTTTGCAATCCAATCCGGATTGTGTTTGATTAGTGCTTTGAAATGGTTTGTTGTGTTTGAAAATTATGCGATCGGCTTCATCGGCTTAATGTACTTTGCTATCAAGGGCTTTACATCGAAACTTGAAATAATTTTAACGCTTTTAATTTAAACGCTCAAAATAATATACGCTGATGAACTACATAGGAAGGGCAAAATTACGTATTTGAGGGAGAGTTTTAAAAATATAAAACACTGGTTGGGTAGAGGTTTAAATGTGGGGGTGTTTGAGGCAAAAATATTTCCCATAAAATACCTGTGCGATGTGCCTTAGATAGGATTTACTCGCAAGACTAGGTACTAGAAATGGGTGATTTGGGGAGGAGGCACGGCCCTATGCCCCCCCTCCCTCCCCCAGATCCACTAGTGCACATAACAATACAACAGGATTGCAAAAAAGGATTGCGGATTTGATCACAATCCAAGTGAAAAAGGGGATTGCGGGTAGGAATGCAATCCACTTCGGCACTAGGAATGTGGATTGGGAATGCAATCCTTTCAAAAAGGATTTTACCGATGCCTGGGATATTGATATTGTATTAGCTGCATAAATAGGTGAATATCGATTCATTTAATGCCCTGATTTTGATAAAACATTCTAGAATTTACCTTTGATAATTGATAACGAAAATGTGCTTATCTGAAACTTTGCGCATTCTTAGATTTTAGAAGTCTACTACACTACTTTCAAGTTTCAGGCGTCAGTCGTTTTATTTGACATTTCAATTTGATTTGGACTTTAAAATCCTGGTCACTTCTCACTGGAAATGGAATATCCTGGGAAAATAGGTATATTGATATGACCTGATATGACTGCCCTTGTTTTTTGACTCATGGGTGGTGTTTCACCGGTGAAAGCAGCATGCTGCTATTACACATGTAAAATTGGGCTTTCCATGGAGAGGTTAACAAGCCTGTTGCTCCCAACACTACCACAAGTGTGACGTTAGCTCGCGAAATGGAATATCAGCATGCTGCTATCACTGGTGAAACACCACCATGGTCTGTGGCTTTAGAGTAAATAATGACATAGGTGGTGCCAAATGCTTGTTGTGCAATGTACAGGTTGGGTCTTCATTTTCCATTCTTATTTCACTATGCTTTAAACATGTGCTTTCACTAAAAGTAAGGACATTTTTTGAAGTTAGGTGTCTGCACATTTTGAACGACCTGAACTTGGATCAATTTTTTTTTTTGCAGTCAACACCGAGCTGAGCATCACGTCAAGATACTAGAAGAGTGGACACCATGGAGTCAAAGCCAGTTGCTTTTCAATTCACAAAAGCTGTTAAGAAACCATCTGTGATACAAACTTCTCTTAACTCTACTGAGAAGAGTGAAGAAGTGGACTTTGTTAAATCAGTTGATGACAAAGGCATTGAAAGGTAAGTAAGACTAAGCTGTTAATTAGCAGTTGGCTTTCTGAATATTCTCCTGTGATGAAATTATGGGGTTGTGTTAAACTCCTGGTCATTTTTGATGCATTATTCAATTGTCAAGATTTTCAAAGCAATAGGCTTAACACAATTATTTCTTGATGTTGCAAAATTTTTATTGTATAACATGAATGTAGGATATAGATGAGTGTTTTGACCTTCATTGTTGTCTTATTTTTGCCAGCACAAAGAAAAGGAAGGAATATGTTCCACTGGTTATCCCACTGAAGAAACCAAAGCTGAAAATTCAAAAGGCTGTTGAAAACCAACCATCCACAGTGACTGATACCAAAGAGCATGATTCTGCAGTGGGAGAGGGGAATTTGGATTCTTTGGCTGCTGCAGAAATTCTACAGGGTAAATATCAAGAATTGTGTTTAGTTATCACCAGTAATCATAGTTGGTTCACTTTTGCTTGGAACAATCATATTAGGCTAGTGAATTACCTATTCATGGTGGTTTTAAAATGCTACCCTATATACGTGGTTGAAGAAAATGGTTTGAATGGGAAATTATAAAAACAGTTTAGCTGTGCAGAGTAACAATTCAATTTGTCATGTCAATGATAAGGTATATTATTTTGAATTGGGGTCTGGGGCAATTGTATTTTTTAGTGTGTAATTACGGAGCGAGCGAAGCGAGTAAAGTCTTTCCTTAGATTAACGGAAATTTCTGAGTATGAGCGGCCGGCCGGCCGTGCGGACGCTTTTGCGAGGCTTATATCTCCGCAACCACTTGACCGATTTACATGCGGGAATTTTTTTGTAGGGTAGCTTCATTCCTTCCACCAAGTATTTTGGACTATTTCTGATGCATGTGGGTGACCCCTTATGCACGTGCCACGTGCAAAACGAAGACGTGTCAGTTTTGTAATTGTTGCAATATCTCGGTAACTACTGGGCCGATTGCGCTGAAAGTTGGCATGTAGGTAGACACCTACTAGGCAATGCATATCCATGTGCCACAGTTGGGGTGCTGCTGCACGTGCGCAGGTGCAGGGGTCGTTTCCATATCTCGAGAACGGCTGGACCGATGGCGCTCAAATTTGGCACACGGTTAGGGACCAGTTAGTAGGGTGCCGTGCACAAGTCAGTTGGGACCCATTTTGCACGTGCGCACGTGCAGGGTGCCGCTTCCAGATCTCGAGAACGGCTGGGGCGATTGTGCTCAAATTTGGCACACCGCTAGAGACCGGTTTGTAGGGTGCCGTGCACAAGCCAGTTGGAGCTATGTACCCCCTCAAAATTTCGCACTTGCAAGGCTCACCCTCTAGCTCGCTCCGTTAGTCGCCCCAAAAGGCGTTTTACTGGTACTGTTAGTGGTGTAATGTATTCTTCATTTCTTATTTCAGAGGCAGCAGAAGGAGCTGATGGGAAGGGAAAAGGAAAGGAAGTGGCTGACATTGAAGTGGCTTCCAGCAGCATTGTACAGGGTGCCACCATTGGAGAAGTGGTAAGAAAATATTTTATTAATTCAGTATTGCAGTTCTTTTCTTTAGTAGTCGTAGCCTTTGTACCAAAGATACCATTTCCCATCGCAACAACTTCTTTTCACTTGACCAGATGATTACATTGATTGTCATATGCATAAAGCACATGTCTGCTCTCTGTCGATGATAACTTAGCATTGAGTTGCAAAGCTAAACTCGAATTTGAAGGTTGCTGGTTTCCATGACTAAATGGAAACCAATGCCTATGTTATTTAGGAAGAAAAAATTGTTACAAAAAGGCTTTATAATTAATTCTTCACTTGGAAGGTCATAAGTTCAGACTGCTCTGAGGCTCATTGGAGATAAATGCTTGTGTATGGTAATTGGTATCAAGGTAAGCAAATGTTTTCCAACGTTACTTATAGGTCGTCCTTATTTTTACGACGTATTATGCAACTGGCAGTACATTCTTTGTTCGTATTTCAGCCTACACTGGACGACTATGACAGTGTACCGGTGGAGGAGTTCGGAAAGGCGCTGCTGCGCGGAATGGGCTGGAAGGATGGCGACGGAACCGGCAAGAAGGGAGAGTGAGTATACGGCCGCGCTCGTACGCTTGTGCTTAAAATGTGGAACTTTGAAACAATGAAGAACGATTTTCTTCACTTTCCGATATCGCTCCTAATGACGTGGTATGAGTTATCAAAACGGCAGTATTGATTAATTCGTTGATGGTCTTGCCCTACACCTTGTCAGTAAATGAACATTTATGTTGCGTGAAACATGTTTTTCCGCATCGTTTGTTCTCCGCCTAAGCAATGTGCGATGTTTCCCCACCATCTTACCTCCCCTCTCCAGTTGAAGTTCGCTCCACACTCTGCCGTGCCGTCCGCGCCCGGTGTTAAGCTCTCCCTCCCTGTGCCCCCGCAGGAAGGTGGGTCAGTTCGAGGCAGTGGTGCGCCCCAAGGGTCTCGGTCTGGGCGCGTCCGTAGCGACCGCTCAGCAGACCCCGGCGGCGGCCGGTGCCGACGGAGATCAGGAGGAGCTGACCATGGCACCCGGCGCGTTCGTCGTGGTCACCATCGGAAAGGAGAAGGGCAACTATGGTCAGGTAGGTGTCGGAGACCATTGGAACTTATTGGATTTGCTCAGACAATTTGATCCAGCCGTAGATGGGCGAGGCATCGGCGCTCCGAATAGGAATATTCAAGTAGTGTTACTTTGCTGAGTCATCATATCGATGCCCGGTCGATTCGACGCCTGGTGCTAGCGTGCTACTGGCCAGCTCGATGCATCTGTGTGTGGGGACGTGGCTGACCGATGACTCGTTCCGATAGGTCGTCATCGGCCAGGCTCTCTGCCTGTATGACGACGGCCGGGCTCTCTGTGTCACTGAGTCTGGCGCATCTGTGTGCCGGTCACGAGACGTGTCTGACCGTTCGCTGGTCTCAGTAGGTATCTAGCCTGGACGGCGACGGCCGGGCGCTGGTCAAAATGGCCGTCTCTGGCAACACCAGCAGCCTGCCCGAGGGCGCGCTCCGGCTGGTCACCAAGAAGGACTACAAGCGCAACAGCCGCGTCATCAGTGAGTGGGCAGTCGAATATAGACTAAGTTGCCATCCTGCCGTCCATTGCTGCAATTAGTCTAGCATGGTTACGATTGTCACCAGCATTTACAGGCCATTCAGTACTCGTAGAATTCCGTTCACCACCCATTCACCTCTGTTTGCTTTAAAGCAAGTGTCTTGTTTCGTCTGATATAGTTTGTGCTTACTTTCTCTGGTCTCAAGAGACGTTTGCTAGGCGATGTGCAGCTTCTGGGTTTTCCGCTTTATTATTCTCCGACCATATCCCGTTTTATTATTCCCCAGTAAGAAGTGGGGGTGCTTTAGTAACTACTCTCTCACCACGCTCATGTATATCCTCGCTCAAGTCGACCTGTCCCCCTACTTTCTTCAGACCAGGAGAAGTACACCGAGTACAAGGAGCGGCAGGAGAAGGAGCACGAGTCGGCGCGTGGTCGGGACCGTTCGGAAAAGTCCTCCTCACGGGCAGACGAAGCCGCCGAGCGGGACTCGGGGCGGTCTAAGAATGGAGAGAAGCACCGTCATCGGGACAAGACGGCCGGTGGTGATAAGAAGGAGAGGTGAGGGGTTGGGTTGACGGGTGGTAGGAGAGGGACGGAACGGGTGTCAGGGAGTCACAGAGGTGACGGGTACGGTGTTGTGAAGGTAGCCGGGAAGCTTGTGAATAGTGTTGATGGTGGCCGCATGAGGTGGACGGGGTAGGCCATACCTACATGTTGGACCTTAGGCTTCTGTGCTTCAGGCGGCTGATAAAGTATATGAGCGACCCTTGTCCGTTCCTGAGTCGGCTGGAGGCGAGAGAGCTTCCTTCTGTACCAATCTTGTGTGACCCATTGCTCATTGTTGACCTACAGGTCATCTGAGAGGGCAGCTGATTCACCTGGAAGCCGGGAGACCCGCCGGCCCTGGGTCAGACCCCAGCTGCGAGTCCGCTGCATCGACCAAAAGTACAAAAAGGGCCGTTACTACAAACAGAAGGTGAGAAACTGGCAATCAGTTGCCGAAGAGGTGCCTGCTTTGGCTGCTGTTTGGCATACAAAATGACGAACGAACGACCCTGCTGTCGTGTTCTTTCTCACACGTCTTTTCCCTGCCATCTTACTGTTTTTTTTTTTTGTTTTTTGCTTTTTGTGATATTCTAATGCCACTCTTTGCCGACTAATCGGTGATGCTATCATTGTCAATGCCATGCCCCAACAACTCTTTCTCCTCTCTGCTAGCTGACCGGAGAATGGGGATGCTATTACTGCCATGTTCTGACCCATTATCTCTCTTCTCTCCGCCAGCTGACTGTCGTCGATGTCATCACGGCCGACCTGTGTATCTGTAAGGACGCCGACGGTCGGCTCCTGGAGGACGTGGCTACCGCCCGGCTGGAGACGGTCATACCGCGCCGAGCGCCCGGGGCAGTGATGGTGGTCCGGGGACCCCATACCGGTCAGGTGAGGCACCGCGGACAGACAGAACACTCGAAACGTGCAGGTGTTGTCATCACGGAGCGGGAGGTAACTACGAAGTTAGCTGTGGTTTGCCCCTGATGCGACATTTCAGCAGCCTCGCTCGCTCTCCTCTAACCAGGAGGTTTAATTATGTTCAAAGCAGTTTAAGGTGAACTAACTTGTTTGTTACGAAATATTCATTTAGGAAAATGTTGGTATGAGCGAGAGGCTGAGATAAAATATTGAATTCATGCTATTCAGGAAGCTTTTTTATGGCGAGAAGAGCTTCATCAGCCCATCCGATGTTACATGTGGCTAGTGCCACCATCATTCGCTCAATAAGACATCGATACCGCTGATACTCTGTTGCCTTCCGTGCCCGCTCTGGCGCCCACTGTGCCACCTATCGGATAATAATGGAACCAGCAGTGTAACGGACCGTGTAGAGTGGGTGCTCTCGCTTTACTTCCAGACTCCAGTGGCAGTGCCACGGGCTGAATGAACACTGAACACCATCGATCTATCGATCACTTACGCCGTAGTAAAGCTGGGTTAAACCTTTCTGTGCGTAATAATCCCTTTCCTCGTCATTTCTCGTTATTTAGGCTGCGTTAAGTCTGGTCCTTTGCCCCTCATGCATAACATCCTCGCATATTTTTGTCACTGAGTGTGTGCGGTAAATTATTCATTCAGTCTTTGTATTTTCCTTTTGCGTATGATTGTGAATAAAATGATTGTTTATTTTCTTTATTTATCGTCTTCTGGTCCTACAGTCTGTACGCACACGCGCTGTCATCCCTCTCCTCTCTGCGGCTATATGTGTGTGCCTGGCAGGGAGAGAGGCTGACCCTACACATTGAAGTCACGTTGACGCCTCCATGTTTCTCCCAGGTAGGAGAGCTGGTGGACCGAGACTCGAAGCGGTGTCGCGCCACCCTGCAGCTGTTGCCCGACCAGCAGCTGGCGACGCTAGACTATGACGACATCTGTGAGTACACCGGCAGCTTGGAGGCCTACAGCTGAGACAGAATCGTACGCTAATAGTATAGGAGCTGTGTGGGGTCTTCAGTTGAGAATGGCAAACCAGAGTACTCGGGTATACCAGAGGCTATACCAGAGGCATCGCTGGTATACCAGCGATATGGAGGTTTTTAGTTCAGAACGGTAGATCTCAGCACACCAGGCCCTCGGCTGAGGTCGGCCGGCCTCGCTGCAAGTAACCAGGCCCTCACGCGGCGTGAGTCCTGCCATCCGACCTACCAAGGCGCCAAGGCGTGGAATCGAGGACATGTACTGTCACAAGATGGCACGTGTTACCATCGTGGCTACCGTCGACGGATTCGGTGCTGAAGATGGTACGATGTGGTGCTAGATGGCTGAAGGGAGCCGTTTTGTAATGTTTACTTAGTGCTGATTTTTTTATACCGTGGCATGTCAAATATGGAGGTTGTGCACACATCATATGAGCTCATTGTTATCATCTCATCTGTGGTTTTGTGTCGATTCCTTACAAACATACATAAGATAACGCGCTGTTGATACCTATGATCATCCAATGTTCATGTACTCATCATGTGACATAAATGTTCATTTTTCCACGGTTATATCGCCTCCTCAGCCGGTGGATGCGTGGGGTCAGGCGCGGACACAATGCGTCCTTCGATGAAGTTTATTGGGTCGGGTGATGGCGGGCGGCGGTGCCTGTTTCGTGGGCGCTGTGACGGCGGAGATATACACAGATCAGCCGCGATCCCGGGTGGCAGCCGGGCTGTGCGCCAGCCGGCAGATGTTAGACACGTGCTGGCCAGAGCCGCGGGCGTCTGTGCCGGCCAGTCATCCTCCAGGGACGGGGAGAGGGGAGGGGGACACCGGTCAGCCCCGGTTCTGGGTGGCGAACTGGCCGAGGAACTTGACCAGCTTCTCGATCTGCGGTACGGTGAGCGCGTTAAAGAGCGCTACTCGCAGTCCTCCTACCGATCTGCCGGAGAAACGGGCACAGACTGTCAAATATCGACGCACACCGCACAATCTCTGGGGAATAACGACCGGGCTGGAATGATCACGCTTATACACAGAGGGGTGGCTGGAAATCTGCTACTCGTCAAACGCATAAACACACTCACATTTTGTCAGTGCCGTTATAATGAGCACTCAGTCTTAGCACATTATTCATATCTGTGTTCCGTTCGATGCCACGTTCAGGGTCCAAATAAACGCGATATCGGTAGTGTGGAACAAAAACTGACCGGCGGCCAGTAGTCCCGTTCTTGGAAGCACTGCGAACACGGGTAATGGGTTCGAGGAATCGTGTTTGAAGGGAATGCGGGACAAGGGTGTTACTTTGTTCCCTACGTGCGAAGGGCCGTCGCATGAAGATCAGAGGAAGTGTCGGCTCCATTTGGACTGCGGTTTCGTCAGCGTGCATGACGGAAGCCCCGGATGAGTCTATATGCCACTAATGGCTCTCACATTTAAAATATGCAGTATGCACGGCTACTGAGGTCGTTGGCACGCGTAGTGTAGTCTAGTGCGTGATCGGGTTCGCGAAGGTATTCAATTACTCGCACTCTACCTTAATATACTCGTAGAATGGGGGCCGGGGGGGGGGGGGATACATGTGGACTGCGGTCTGCGGTGCATCTGCCTTTCTTTCACTTGCGCCGGTTGTAATCGCGGAAATCTCTTTGACTGCATAGAGCGGGAATGAGAATGTCTGGGTGCATTTAATTCAATTAGTATGTAGCCTGAAAAAGTAAACCGCAAATCTGCGGGGGTTGAGGAACCCTTAAATGAAAGGAGGCTCCGGTTTAGCCCGCCATTCTCTCGGAACTGCTTCGCAGTAACCAGATCAAGTAAGCCAATGACCGGGACGAAAACATGCCACAATTCTGGGTAGCCATTGTACGAGGAAATGTGACGATGACGATATCGGCTCTGTTAGATGGCGCTGCTACTTGGAAGCGTTTCAGTTTTGGCTTCTCCGAACGCTGGCGGTCTCAGCTCGCTCAGTCTACCCTCCAGCGCCGTGGCACTATCGCTCACCGGTGGCCTTTGAGGCTTTTGAAGCCGACCTCCTCGGTCCTCTTTGAGGAACTTTTTCTCCAGCTCTGCTCCCGCTGAGATTCGCAGTTGAACCGTCGTTCGGGACCGGGCAGCCCCGTCCACGGGCGCCACGTAGAAACCCTGCGGGCGACAAGGGCCGGTCAGGTGTCGCCATACAGAGAGTTGGGACAGACACTTTTAGGTTACCTTTATGTGTGTATGTCTCATCTCATTTATTGTCAACAGAAAAAGACAAAATAAGTACAAAAGTGAAACAAATAGGATTGGTGCAAAAGCGCAACGCTTAAATCAAGGCACCTCTCCTTAAAATAAACGAGGTTACAAAACATGACACCGCCGGGATCAACAAAGTGGGCCAACAAAGTGTGAACTAACTAAAAGTACAATAAAGGTGAGCGATCACTCCTCCGCTGAGTCAGCCCCCGTCCCCGCCGCCCGCCGCAATGCCATCGCCCTGACCACGAAGTCCTGGAAGAGCGCCGCGGCCTCCCGGCCGCCGTCAGTGATTGTGGTCATGTTGTGTCCGTGTATGAGTTTTTGGAAGAGGTCTTGAGGTGACAAATTTTGATAATTATTACCTAAGACCAATGAAAGTCGAGTGAAAAAATGGGTTCTGATTCGTTGGTAGAGAGGGCAAGTTAAAAGGAAATGATGTATTGTTTCTGATCTGTCGAGGCAAACGCATTGAGGAGTGGGAAGTTTCTGGAGTTGGTACAGGTTGGCATTTAGTGGGAGGCTTCCAGTTCTTATTTGTGTATGATATGTGTTGCCTAATTTGGAGCCGAATGAGAAATAAGGATTGGGTTTGGGCGTGCCGAAGATGTGCGGGAGAGGGGGCGTTATAGGCTGGTCAAAGTGGTCATTGGTCAATTCTCCGCGGAAGGGGAGCAAGAAATGGATGGTGTACATATTTAGGGGCTTGGGTGTATGCTGGTTTGGACCGCTATCCTGGCAAACACGGGCATGAAGTTACACTGTAATCCGACTGATACTGAAACAGCGGGTGGGTGGCCTGGTGAAAGCAACAAACACTACTTGATGCAACAGGACTAATGAAAACACGTTCGTAGTACAATCTGGTGCGCCATAGGCGGTTTGTGTCAACACATAACGATGTGTTAACACAAGCAGTCTGTAACGATGTCATAATTCATTATTAGTAAGCCGAATTCCAAAAGAATTGCGACACACCCTATTCCGCACCATCGCTCTGCAATCAGCCGTTGCTTGCAGTTTTGACTCAGTTTACGAAACAGCCGAAAGGAGCTATGCTCAGAACCTGTGTACAGTATGACTGAGAGTGTTGTGTAGGTGAGGGGAGACTCACGTCTGACTGGTCAGCGGCGGTGTAGATGAGCTTGGCCTTGGTGTCGCTTCTCTTTGACATCTCCTCGACTCCACCCTGCTCCTCGACCCAGTCAAGCACCTTGCCCGTCACGTATACGCTGAAAGAGGAAATTGAATGGATGGTCAGCCCTCTGATCGGCCCTCTGACTCAGAGGGACCGTCTCACTCAGATAAAACAAGGTCGCATCAGTATCTCAGAGTCGCTGGCCATCATTGGTCGGTCCTATCCGCTTCATTATATGCTCTTACATCCAGTGGTGTTCAAATGGACCCACATCTATCCGGCGTATGTAGAACTAACCGCTCTATCTATCCGGCGTTCTTACTACTCACTTGAAGCAAGGAGGTGTGTTATACAAAGATCCAGCCTTGGCCATTGTGCTGTAGCTGAGAACTGACGGACAGACGGGCAGACCGCGGCCCAGCAGGTCCTCACGCACGATGACTATTGTCAGTCCGGCCGGACCCATGTTCTTCTGAGCGCCGGCGAATATCACGCCAAACTGCCGTGGAGAATGAGATGTCAGTGTCGGCATGGTGTCAGTCACAAAACTGTTTCAGTAACAGCGTGCGGTGTCAGTGACATGTCAATTGTCAGTGCGGTGCCAGTTGAACATTTGGTAAACCCCGGTAACTATGACAAAGGTAGTTTCCGTGTGATGCCACCCACGGCTAGAGCGAGCGGCTGACTCTCGTGTGTCTGCGGTTTTATGGAACTCAGCCGAGCTGTGGTAGGGCTGTGTCCTTCCGTCGGGACGGCATTCTCACCTTGCTGACGTCTATGGGCCGTGTGAGGATGTTGGACGACATGTCGGCCACCAGAGGCACGTCCCCGGTGTCGGGCACCTCCTGGAACTCGACGCCTGCCGAAGGAGGCCCAGCTCCATCAAATCCGACAGCGTATGGACAGAGAACAAATAATGTAGCAAACATGGGTACACGACCCATGCAACAGTGGTACAGTTCCTGATGTCCTTTTGTATGACATCGCACGACCTGTAGTCCGTGAAACGGCGCTGCAACACATTGCAGCACCCATCATCAACGTTTAAGGGTTCGTGCAGTGGTGCTACCGCCCCCGTGTAGTTTGACTCCATACATATTTGATAACACCGCCAATACATCATAACTACCCTCGCCGTCCTGGTACTTGCTAACCGCTTGCATCACTCCATCGCCGTGTTCGCAAGGTTGATAGAAAGTAAGGCTCTACCATGAATCGAGGCTGCAGGGACATGGATCATTAAAAGTTAATCTTTTCTGTGTTAACCCCGGCGTAAGTTCGCTGCCATATTTGAGGACTTGGGCGTGAGGCCGCTATGTGTGGTAGATGTTCGTGGCGGCGGGTGTCGGCCGGCAGCTCGATGTGTCAGCGGGTTCGGCGGGGCGGCGGACCTACCCTCGACGGTCTCGTTGTCACAGTAGTAGACGTAGTCGGCGTCCGGCCTCAGCCGCCACTGGTCTCGGCCGGCGATGCCGAGGAATTTCTCTGTGGCCGGCAGCACGGGCTGCATGTCCAGGTATCGGGCCGCCTCGGCCGCCGCCTTCTTCGACCATGTGCCTGAAGGTGGTTGGGGAAGGTTGGGTCATCCGCCGGGGTCGTTGTGTGCAGGTCGGAGGCCACCGGTTACCGGTCCACTACGCTACGTTCAGGTCATCGGCCGAATCTCGCGACATGACTTTGGTCTAAACAGGTCACTGGTCATACGTCAAAGGTCTGAAGTCATGGGTCAGTGGTCAAAAGTCGCTGACTAAAAGTTGCCGGCCAAAGACCACTCGGTATACTTTTGAAGATTGATCTTTACTAATGCCTCTGACAAGATGAAAACGGGCAAAAGTAATGCACTTAGTGTCTGGATGCTGTGAAGCGTATTACTCTGTGAAGCTACAAAGGTCATCGCTCTACCTGCCACCGCCTGTCCGCGCCTCATTAGACTAATTCGAGCCTTTGAGCGATTATTGCGCAGCTGAGCTGAACTCTGACAGTGCTCGGTGCCCCTCCCCGGGGCCTGGGACGCACCTGTGATGAAATAGTCGGCCTTTCCGTTGACACAGAGGTTGAGCGGCACGGCGGCGAACTGGCCGGTGGCACCGCCCTGCACAAACAGCACCCGGTAGTTGTCCGGGATGTGGCTGCAACACGCGGAGGGACAGATCGCACTATTTGAGGACTACTTGTACCGCGGCGACGATGAAGCTCGGACGATTTTCACAATTTATATCTTATCGATCAATGATGGAAAGAGGAGCGTACCGAGCGCAGTGACCATTGTGCGTTGTTACGCTCGATATTAGTTACGAGCATAAATGAAATCACACGTATTCAACCATTTTCCTTAAACATGCAATGATGAAATGCATCTACCAACTGGGATGCCTTATTCGAGAACCCCACTCCTAACCAGCCAGCTCCTGCCTAGACATGTGAACAGAGCATAGTTTCCCACTCACAGCAGCCGCCGTAGCCGGGTCTCTGTGCCCGATATGATCTGCTGGAACTCGGCCGACCTGTGGCTGATCTCCATCACACTGACGCCAGTGCCGGCATAGTTGAGCAGCTCGGCCTGCACCCTCTCCAGCACCTGTGACGCCACCGGAGGGTTGTCAGAATGGGGTGGTTTGGAGCTGTCTGACGCAGTTTGAGGGACACCTAATACCTATCTAACGCGGGCGGGGAGGTAGTGACGTTGATGTAAGTGGAGAGAAACGTGTTCTTTTATGTGATATTGAATCGACAATCATGTTATTGCACGGTTCATGATTCAGTTATGGATCGCGGTCCCTTGCCCCACACTCAGTGCCTTGCGGAACAGTATAACTTCAGGCGCGTGACGCGGGCGCCATCTGCTGACCACAAACTCAAATAGCTTCAGCAAGCAGCTTGTTGCTTGGATTTATAGTAGGTAAGTTGTTAATAGCAATTAATTTAAATAAGTTTTGGTGCATTAAAGGTATAGGCGCCGTTTTATCTTAGTAAGTAGTGTTAAGGTATGTATATGGGGTCTGACTACGCCTTTTGTGATGCACTCTTTAAAATTTACCTACCCACCGTGAACCTTCCAATTCTGACAACATATCATTCATAATTCAAAGCAGTATTTATTGCATGTCCACTTTCAAAATCGTTGTGCAACGAACTAGTCAAGTGAAATGATGGAGTGTAAACAATAAACATGCAGCTGATGGGGAGATACGCAATGGTACCCTTGAGTACCGAGACTGGACCGGAGCTACTAAAAGCCACGGTGACTATACTAAAAGCGAACCACCATCTATTATTCACGGACGGAACGCGCGATAATGCCGTTTTGCGGTAAACTGGTACGTGACAGACATTCCGCCATGCCAGTGTACCCAATGACATTGGCCGTTTCAGCGTATGTACCCTGTGACCGGTGGCATTAATTATACCTAATAAAATGTGGCATAACTGCATGTTTGAGTCGATCACTGCGATCTGCGAGTAATGCAGTTTTGTACGGAAAATCTCCGTTTATTTATGGGCGCTGACATCTCGCTGCTAACTCGAACCACATGGCGGGATGACGCCACTCACGTTATCTCTCCAGCAGGCACCACGTTTTTGTCTATACCACTCTGCGCGGTAATTTCTTGGTAGCGTCGTATCTGGGCAGGCAACTGAAACAGGCTCCTCTGTTACCATGCGCTTACAAAAAAAGATTGTGGTTCCAGGGGCCTGGGTATGTCTTAGGGCCTTGGCCTGGGCTGTTTCCCTCGACTAGATAAAAACGGTTACGTTACGAAAGGCGCTATTTGTGGTTTTGCTGCCCTGACTTTTGCTGCTATGGGCTAAGCGCGGTCATAAGATTTAGTCGGCCAAGACAACGTACTGATTTACACGTTGTCACTCAACGCCCATGGTTTACGTTAAGGCACATCATGGAGATTGAAAATGACTTTTATTGCCAACGCTATGCTCCGATATCGATACGGACTGTCAGGAGAACTGTTTGATATTGGCAATGGCTCCATTCACTGGTAGTTAGACTTGTGGCTCAAGCGACGTATGGAGTTCATCGTAGATAGATTCAGTGTAGTCCCTGAGGAATCTTATATACCACTCAGAGATTTCTTGGGATTGGGCATTCGGGTAAGCAAAACAACTTTCGGGATAGAAAACTTGAACTTAGGAGAGACGCCAGGCTGGGCAGACATAAGTATATGAGGGACATGAGGATCGAAATTCGAAAGGCATCCAGGGGGCTGGGGACACCGGGGACGCGGATATCCAACCCCAATTCATGCCAGACCGATAGGCATCATCGGAATACATCTACCATCATCGGGCTTTCATCGTACTTTCATCACGTAGTCATTAGACTTTCGTGCTGAGGTACTGGCTAGTGAATAAGACTACTTCATGCTTAGAAACTAGCCTCTGAACTGGCAGAGTACCCATTACTCCAGGAAGTTTTAAAGGCATTTCTGTTGAATGCTGACCTCGCTTAGCGACTGCCCCTCTCTGCAACGCCCCTCCCCAGTTCCCTCTGGTCCCTCTCCGCGGACGCGGATGTCACTGACCGCATGCCTTCAAATCCAAACATCCGTGTCGGACCAGCACACCCCAGCTCCCCGTCTCCCAGCTCCCCTCCCCGCGGTAATGGTCTCCGAGTGCGTGTGACGTTTCTGTATGAGTGACTGTGTGGGGAGGAGAGGAGAACCTGCTCTGTCTCTGCCAGCCGTTCTTTGTGACATCCCTTGAGTGTCCTGCTCACGGGAATACACTGTCCTGCTCGTAGGAGAAGCTCCGAGTTTAGATGGCTGCTATTTGCCGAACTGATAATCGGTAGCCATTCAGGGCGCATAACATGCCCATGACTGAGGCAAATACTGTATGGTTTATTGCTCGACGACAATTTCAGTGTTCACCCGTAAATGATAGCAGGCAATAGTTCTCACTTCTCGACTGCCGCCATCTGATATTTCCTAGGTATTTTAATTCAGACTTGGTCGGACGCCAATGTAATTCCTAACTGAATACCAAAATGTCGAAAGTTGGATTCTTGAACAAGCCTGTCGCCTCTACGCTGTCATTACAAATATTTGTCGTTTCTAATAAGCGATTGCGAAACGCATGTCATTACATGCTCGAATGTCTCTCCTGCTGTGTCCTGCAGTGCTCAGAACACTTTCTCCATACAGCTTCGACACAGCTGATTTGATTAAGTGCTTTGTTCGAGCCAAAATACGACGGCTGCGTACAACAGTCGCACTATTTCAGTATGATACCTGGTTGCTGGAATTTTTCATTTCCGGTGATAATTAAATAGGAGGTGGAGACGCGGGACGTCGGTCGATGGTCATGTTAACTTATGTGAACCTACCTGGGTGGTAACCACCTGGGCAAAACCCTAAGCAATAATCTTACACGGCATCACTTTACACCGAGAGACGATCAGATCATCAGGCGAAGGCACTGAACTCTATAATGTGGAATGCGCATCGGCCGCCAGATGGTGTCCAACGGTGCCGCCATGTTGCGCAGACCAGAAAGCGGCCGCCGCCTGTGTTGGGGAATAGGGAATTCGGGACCTCGATTTACGTTTGCGGTCGCTGCATCCGTTACGTTCAAGCTATGTGGACACGGAACCCAGCATCTTACGCAGAATTGAGTGGAGAACAAGATGAAATCCTAAAAAATCCTCAAATATAAGGAACTAATACGTTAAACCCTTATAAGTCAATGGGGAAATATGAAAATTGCTATTTTGGCGCCGAGAATGATCTGAAACTATCTCAACCATATAGAATCATGATTTCATGCACTCCTTGCAAGGTTCTATGCTTCATATTTACATTGTTGCTCTTGCGTGACGTCATTTGTGACGTCACAAGGGTCACAATTTTTCTTCAATAACTCCCGATCAAATTGAGCTAGCGAGTCGGGAAAGCCACCAATGGACTCAGGAAGACCTGCCGAGTCGAATGATATGCGACATGACCTCTTTCGACCAACTTCGTGACCTGGGGGTGCTGACCTGACCTTGACATGAGGTCAACACCCTAAGTTGACCTGACCCGAACAAAAAGTATATCATTCGATGCGCCTGAGCTAGCTGAACACGATGATGCCAAAATCGCGGCTCTACGGCCATTTTTGGCGAAGTTATTTACCAAAAACCGAACCCTTGCCTAAGATCACTTGACCTGACCTCAGAGGTCACCGGTTGACCTGAGACCTTTACAGCGGGTTCCTACCAGTCACTCTGCATTATACTTTGCCGCATACGACCACTTTACCGCTTAATTCTAGTTAAATTAGCGGCGCATTAGCGAGGTGGGTTCAATCAACCCCCTCGGCCGGTGCAAATGTAGGTCCGGCGAGTAAATTTGAGGAATTCTGAAGATACGATCGTGTTCCCCACTCAATTCTGCGTAAGATGCCGGGTTCCGTATCTACGTAACTTGAACGTAACGGATGCGGCGGCCGCAAACGTAAATCGAGGTCCCGAATTCCCTATTCCTCAACACAGGCGGCGGCCGGTTCTTGGTCTGCGCAATATGGCCGCCACCGTTAGACACCACGGCCAATAGGATTGAAGCGGTAGTGCTCCCCTGTGGGCGAAGGTCATGGTCCTCGAGTTATACTCGTACGGAGCAGGCAGTTGAGCTCGAGCTCTGAACTCAGCTGCATGGTTACACCTCATCCTATGACTTGACAGCCGATATACATAGGCACTAGAGATTTCGGATAGAGCTGCACTTTTCACTAGGTATATGCCTTTTACCATAAACAATCAATATACCATTTACCATAAACAATCAATATACCTTTTACCATAAATTATTACCATCAGTTCAGTAGGAAGCACACCCATCAAGCTTTCCGACTGAAATATGATGACGTCATCCACACAACAACTCAATGCTAAGTGCTAACCCAGAACTTCTCGGCAGTCCGACTCTGGAACTCCGGATGACCTGACCCCTGGCGCCCCGACTGACCTGACCCGGCGGCACCCCAGGGCTGGGTCACACCTCACCTGGTCGGGGATTTTGGACGGGCCCGGCCCGAAGAACACGATCGGCTGCTCCATGGCGCTGTGCGGCGGCTGGGGTCCCGGTGCGGCTCCGTCTGTGACCGTCCGATCGCCGGCCGGCCCGTCCCCGTCCTCAGCCGGCAGCGCGTCCGGCCGGCCGGCCCGACCGCCCCCCTGCGCCGAGCCGCCGCGCCGCCAGCTTCCGGCGCTGGCCGCCGCGCGGCGCCACCTGTCCATGGGGCTCGGGTATCGGGTGTAACGGGAGGGAAATGAACCGGTTCATGACCCCACTCGTGGTCTTAAAACTACAAGCCGGAAGTGGGTAGTAAGTGTGTAACGATAAGATATGAGCAAAGAGATCTGTCCACCGGAGGGGCAGAATGTGGTCGTTGTGCCACCGCGACCTGACCACACTCCACCATGACCTGTCCACCGGGACGAGTGTGGACTGTGGAGGGGGGCACCACCGTTCCCCGACCCGGCCTTCATCCGGACCGGTTGTGGTGTGTATGTAGTGTTGATCGGGCATGGTCCATATTGATGATAATCTAGTCCTATTACTGTGAGTACCTATTACCTACATGTTTGTCGATGGGCATTGGTAGGTAACCGCGGGGTATTTGAAAATCAGACAAACACTTCCGGCGTAGGTCCGGCGAGTAAATTTGAGGAATTCTGAAGATACGATCGTGTTCCCCACTCAATTCTGCGTAAGATGCCGGGTTCCGTATCTACGTAACTTGAACGTAACGGAATCGTGTTTTTATATTAAAAATAGCCGGAGCAGTCCTCGCTTGGGAGTGTTTTCCATATGTAGGCTCTTGGACAGTTGGACAATGTCTTGAGCTGACGCTATGGCCAACATGTACATTGCTCAATCATCATTATTGTGATGTCGTTTTGTTTGTTTCTAAGAAGCACATAAAATGCACCTGTTTCACAAACAAAAAAATATATAAGCTTCGTAGTTCATACCCTGTATAATCGCATGTCAAATTAGCTCGCGTCGAAGCTTACGAGAGGTGTAGTTCGATAACTGATGGATGGGCGAGCCGGTCGTTTCTACTGTCCCCTTTGTTCGGCCCCTAAGTCACTAGCGATAGCTGGTAGTCCCCACAGTCCAGTGATTATTTTTAGTTTTTCATCCATCGACTGCCATAAATCAATTGAGTGATGAGTAGGTATCGACTGGCGACGGGATGATCAGATCCCAACCAAGGTCATCTTACCTCTGTAGGACGTTCACGGTGCCCGTAAAGAGGTGTAGTTAGTCTGAATGCTGAGGTATGGATATAAGGCGTTGTTCCAATGGCCATGATAGACATATGTAGGTACCCAGCACCTACCTACCCAATGCTTATGTACCCATGATTAGTGTACGGTGGAACAATTGATGTCAATCGTTTGAAAATTGCTCGAGTTGGATCAATACGCTTAACGCTAATCAAACATTGGGTAATTTGCTTGTAAAATGTTTCATGCATAAGACACGATAAACAATTAATCGATGCACATATGGTCCAGACAGTGAATTTCAGCCAATTTATGCATTGCAGCACCAGGCTGATCCCCACTCCCCAGCCACAATGACGGACGGTCCGGCCGCAGCGCGCTGGTCGGTCCACACTGTGCCGTGTACCTGATGACCGTCCCGTGATTGTATCAGTTTCAGACCATATACCAAGAACTGTGGTGGCATGGCGCCGCTGCTTGTAGACTTTAATGTTAGAACATAAAAGGAACCTGATCAAAAAGTTTAACCCTCGCCCGCACATGCCATTTTCCCATCCTAGAACGCACATGGGGGGGGGGGGGGTTGCCACCCCCGCGCCATTTCGTTCCTGTTGGAGATAGAGCTTAGCGGTAAAGACCAAAAAGATTCTTTGGGAAGAGACGAATCCAATGATACCCAGTTTTACCTTCTCAGGTCATTCATTGACCTTCCAGGTCAGGTCAAACTAAAAAATGTTGCTGTTTTGGGTCACCGTTGGATATCAAGTGCGCTGCTTATCAAATACCGATGACGATGCTGTTTTCTGGTGCCAAGCCAGCTAGAACCTCTTTGTCACACTACCCGACCAGAATTTTGCTGCTGAGGTCATTTCAGGTCAAGTTAGGTCAAGGTCAATTATATGTGTTTGTATGTCTGTGTGTGTCTGTGTGTATACTGATGTGTGCACCGATTGTTTTTGGGTCCATATTACATGAAATCATGATCTGAGAAGCTTTTACAAAAAATGCAGTCAAAAAACTTCACAAAAAGTAAATTCAGCTTGCCTAAAACGCAATTATCTTAGATGACCTAGGTTGACCTTGACCCTGACCTTGACCCCTGTACATCGTCGAACAACATGTTCCATGATAGGTGGGAGGTAAGACTGGCGAAAAAGGCCGAAATCATGGTGTCAAAAGCTCACAAGGCCCATGGCAAACGCAAGATGTTGAGAATTGGCCATTTGGGTCATGACATGACCTGAAACAAGGTCATATCTCCGAAAACAAAAATCACAGAAACTTGAAATTTTGAGTGGACATCAAGAAAGGATAGAGGAGCAGCTATACGAAAAATCAGCCTTCTACTTCTAAAAATGTGTAGTGCAGAGCAGAAAAACTACCTGGGGGGGTGGCAACCCCCCCCCCCATGTGCGGGCGAGGGTTAATACGATTGGCACCCCTTGGATGAGAACGAGTGAAGAGATTAAAACCGTGTCCGTTGTCGGGCCGCCGCGGCAGGCTGCCTCCGTTACGGTGTTCTCGAGATTGTTCAGTGATAAACGCTAAGTAACTAAGTTTTAGAAGGGAGACCTGACTCTGACATTTGCTTTTATCCGAATCACTTGACATTTCCCCAATTTAGGGCCGCCGCGCCGGTCGGGTCACTGGCTGTGACATGAGTGGGGTGAGGCGGATGTGAGGAGTTTGATGGTAATGGTGTCAGTGTGGAGTTCGTAGCTAAATGAGGTTTAATTAGCTATTTTGATTCAGAATTCACACTTAAGATGACTAGGTACTGAAAAACTCGCAGCGCCAGAAATTGACAAAAATTTTCGGTTTTTCGAGAATAAAACCGCGAGAATAAATTGAGGTTCTTGGGGCGCCCAAAAACCCCAATTCATCATCATAAAGGTACTGCACAGCAGTGCGTAAGGAATCGAAATTCGATGAGCTTTTTGAATTTTGATATTTGGGGGGGTATAATTCCCCCCCCCCCTCCCTGCAGCGTCCAAGACCGTCTTTCTGGATCCTCCAGTCAGGCGTGAGCTTACATACCAAGCATGGAATAACTTGTCCGCGGCCCGCAAAACGCGGGCGAACGTCGAATCGAACGGCAAATGCAGGTAGGTAGACTGACCCGCCCGACACAGATGCGTTGCGGGCAGCCTACCATCTCAGGCAGTCAGTCGCAGCCGGCCGGGCCGTCCTCCGAGCTGACGCGGAGGGACGGGGAAGATGATGTGTGCTTATTTCTCTGACGGCAGAATATGGGTGGATCTGGATGAGAATTGCTTAAAATTATTATGTGATCTTGATCAGATATAACATTTGATGTTCCGTTTACAACAATAGCTATAAGCTAAGACAGCAATAAAATGTATCGACTATATTCCGACTGTAGTTACCATCGAAACCAAGGCGGTTGCGGGGCCTTTTAGTTTCGGCCTTTTGCTGCGCGCTTTTTGTTTTGTGGACTGGAAGCAAAGTTCCCCGAATCGCCAAGGCGATTCGGTTCGGGGAACTGAAGGAACTGAGGCTCCTGATTTTTTAATGAGTCATGTCACCGAAGAGTGAAGACGAATGCTTAAATAAAAGAATAAGCTAACTGCGTTGTCACAACTAATTACAGAGTCAGTTGCTTGATGTTACAACTTACTGTTTGCAACGCATGACATCAGGTCTTTCATTGAAGTAATACTTGCTACACTTGCTACTTGCTAATGCTTTCGTTTTAGTAAGCAGTCAGTTACAACATCCTTGAAGCTATAATAACGCAAAACATTGATCCTCTGCAGACTTACGACATGACACGGCCCCACCGGACGTTAAACAAACTGTGGCGACACGTCCTTAATTATATTGCACATACCCATGAAATCTTAGAGCATACAACACGACACAAGCGTCTCTGCAACGCTTTGGGGCGCAGCCTCCGCCTGCTCCGAGCGAAAGGCTGCCACAACCCCTCCTTAAACTAGCCAGCTATAAACAAGGGTACCCGGCCGGAGACTGGTACGCTGTATAAACAGGGACCGCCCGACACAGTGTGCCTGGAATCTATCCGACCGACCAGGCGGGGGTCCTGTCCGGTGGGCCGGGCTCCGGTCGGGCGGAACACCCTCCCCCCACGCCAGTCTGACGTAAAACACACATAAACCACAAGGACCATAGCCGCCCGGTCGCCGCCAGAGCGTAAAGTCCTGCGTGTTGGAACATCACAGGACAGAGAGGGGAGGACCGAGGACTGAGGGAGAGAGAAGGCACCCACTATCACCACACATTCAGTCATCAGACTGTTCGAGAGAGAACAGAGTAGTGCGTGCGTTGTAGGCACAGTGTTTGATACTACGAGTCGTTGGGTATTCAGGAGAGAAGAGAATAGTTCGTAAGAAATAGCTACTAAGAGTGCTGTTAAGTGATTTGGAATACGTATGAAGCATACATATAGATAAGCACATCAAACTTGAAGTCATGGCGCATGCAACGAGCAGACACAGACACTAATCACAGTACAATAGCGAATCCAAGTCGAATCAGTTATCACTTAGACAAGTGCAACATTTATGTCATGGTAACTGTTATCGTAAAACACACACCAGTAACCGACAACGCGTGAAAGTTTGGCGACATCTTACACAAACGAGCCCGCTCCCAAAACCGAGTGACATTATTCGAGCAGGCTGCTGAATAATGTCTATAGCTTTGACGCTGAAACATATAAACGATAAAACGCACAACCCATGGTCACCTGTTTCAAAAATATATCTTCGTCGTGGCAAGCGCGGCTGTGCATTTCGATGCGGGTGTTTCAGACCTGTAGTTATCGGAGCCTAAAATCGGAGCCCCCACAGCTACAACTTCGGGGGTTCACCTTCCCGAGCCGGGCCCGGGAAACCCCAGCTCGGCTCACTTCTGTGATACTGGTAAAATCGGGGGGCCACGGCAAACCAGCGCTCTGCTGAACAACAGAGGGCACAGAGGCGGTAGTGAAAAGACAGAGGTCACCGACCACAGTCCCGCGGTGCCCCAGCAGTGCAGCGGTCCGGTGACCCCCCGGGGAATGTCGTGTACGTGCCCTCTGGCGGCGGGAGCCGCTCACTTCACTGCGCTCACTCATGGATGGTCGTATGTACAACGCTCATTTCTAGATCACCTCGGGACCTCTAACTCCTCCACCGCCTCATGGCCCCAACTCCTCGATCACCTCACGTCCCTAACTCCTCGATCACTTCATGGCCCTAACTCCTCGACCACTCCACGACCCTAACTCCATGATCACCTCATGGCCCTAACTCCTCGACCACTCCACGGCCCTAACTCCTCGACCACTCCCCGGCGCTCACTCCTGGATGGCCTCGTGTTGTCTGGTGAGTCGCGGCCGTTCGCCGCACGTCTTCTCCAGCGGGCAGTTGTACTGGATCGTGTGCACATCAGGGGGCGCCGAGTTGTCCATACTCGGCTGGTACTGAAACATAGAACGGAAAGTCCCGAGTGTAAGTGCGTGCTATAAACACAGACACCGTTCGACTATCAGTCCAAGGAGAAAAGAAACGATAATAAATTATCTGTCTTAACCCGTAAACACAGGTCTTCTGGGAAATCGTTTGTATATATGGAGATAATAAACAGCACTGAGTGGTATTAATAAATGTTTTCAGTTCACTTGAATAAAAACATTATTTCATATTCACTAAGACACTATCATTCCACACCAGATTTGCCTTGCCAAAACACCAGTCCACCTTCATTTATGGCGATAAATAGCACGATGTCCCCCCTCCGTTCCTAAACAGCGCCATCCCTCATGCATGGGCCTTCACTACCTCCATTCAACACTTTCATGTTTCCACACGGAGTGTGCCCCAAACGAGCACTACTACCGTCCCATCCAAACACTACTACTGGTCTCTTCGAGCGCCACCACCTTTCGAGCACTATCACCAGTCACCACCCCATTCAAAAGCTACCACTGTCCCACCCTCTAAAAATCATGCACCGTCCCATTCTAACGTTATCTCCACCCTTCGTAGCCGCTCGCTCACCGTGATCCGTTTGCCGTATTTGCTCCAGAAGGTGACGCGGCACTTCTGCGTGCGCCCCGTGCGCTGGTCGAACGCCTGGCACGTGGTGAACGGCGGCACGTACACGTGCAAGCTGACGGCCCTCTCCGAGTGGCTCGGGTTCTCCACGCGGTGCAGGCCCAGCGAGTCTGGCGGGGCAGAAGGGAGGGTGTCATGGTCGGTCTGATCACGGGTGGGTTGGCTTTGGTTGGATTCTGGCAGGGGGCTGAAGAGACGCATCATGTCAGCCTGATGAAGCACGAACCCAGTTATCCTGTCTCGAAAAGGCAGCACATAATTCACAAATTCATTCGTAAGTTATGTTAAACAGTGCCATTTTTAGGTACAAATTCCTATCTGACGCTTTTCAGTCCTGCACAGGGCAGATAACGACGGCGGTGGTTCGCTCACCATTGATGTAGCACACTCCGTTGAGTGGCAGCCGCGTACGGCCCAGCTCTTCCATGCCGTTATTCGGGGTCTCATCGGTGGGCCATTTGTAGCGGATCTCCTGCAGCTCTCCCTGCAGTACCTATGGATGGACGTGTGGTGGATAGACGAAGCTGGGAAACGGTAAACGGACGGTGGAGTTTGAGAAGGACAAACGACACACGGGCTTTGGAATAGCAGCGGGCTGAAGAGAGATGGACTTTAGGGTGACAGACGGGCTTTGGGAGCAGAACGCAGGAGAAGACGAACTGGATGGCGACATAGTTACGTTAGACGGTAACAACTAACATATATCTGGAAGACAACAGACGAGACACGTAATTGTGAGTAACCGACCTCAACCGAGCTGAGGAAATTGCAAGCTGACGACGGACGGCAGACAGCGAATGATCTATCTTCTGCAGAGACTGGGCAGTTGCTATTCGAGGAAAGGCGTTTAACCCTATTAGTGGCAGGCTCCTGGCTACCCCTATTAGTGGCAGGGGGGGGGGGGCTGTTTACGACCCCCCTTGATATCTCGAGATCTAACGGGCCGATTTTCAAAATTCAAACGGCATTCGATTTCGCTCAACGTGATCTACATTTCTAAAAAAGAAAAATTAAAAAATGTCAATAGGGGGGGGGGGGGTAGAGGGGGGTAAAAACGGGCAAATTGCAGATACATTTTAGACTGTTTATCACGGCCAGGTTTCTGAACCAATCTTAACGCAACTTTTGCCGATCGATTGAGAATGAACCAGGAATTCACATGGATCCTAAAAATATGCATTTTCAAAAAGCATAGGCGGATACAGATCATTGAGATTGGGGGTACACAAAAAGTATAGTAAATAAGGTTTTTGTTGGTACTGTTTCTAAAAAGGGTGGTAATGGTCTTGTTATGTTACAATTTTCTTATGAGAGAACGACTACAAGGCGGTCATTGGTCATGCATACACATTGGTCATGCATAGGCGGTGTCAGGGCACCTATGTTGGGAGGTAAAACATAACCCCCTTTTTGGACGCCTGGATCCGCCTATTATAGCAAAAACGTGTCAAAGGAGGATGCACAATAGCTTTGTATATGTTATCACATGATACCTTTCATTCACTGTTCGTAAAACTGGTGCAGCATCGTGATCTTCGCCCGAATGACTCGCTTCACGAATAGGACCCCCAATTCCCAGTGCTCTGGAGCCGCCCCTGGTAAAGTTATGAACTTGAAATTTTCAGGGAATGTGCTTAATTTAGTTTTAGGAAAAGTCAGAAAATTTCAGCATCGTAGCTTCAGCGGTTTCGGAGATATTCCCGAAAAACCTGAGGGGTGGATGAAAACAACCCCCCTGCCACTAATAGGGTTAAGAAGGAGCATCTGGAGTCGGTTGCACTACCTACCACCGACCAGCATCGTTCCTGGCCGAAGCCCCTGACCTCGCCTCAGTTCGTTAGATCGAAGTCACTGTCACGAGCCCCCCACAGCACCCGTACCTTCATGAAGCAGTGGGCGTCCGTGTGGTCGTGGATAGTGGAGGCGATACTCTCCGGCCAGCAGAGCAACATGATGTCGAACCGGCCGTTACCCGAGTCCACCAGGTTCCGGGTGTACCTGCGTGCAGACCGGTGGACAACGTCAGTACACGGGTATAGCATCGGTACAGCGGTACACTCTACACAACCAGTATATGCGGCTCATACACAGCAACGCACAACACGATAAGTGCGAAACTAGTACACCGGTATACACAAAACGGTACCCTCATACATTCGGTCGAGAAATGTAGAGGGATGGCATATTGCAAACTCGGCGCAGCCCTAGCATGTGGCGTCCATTATAAACATCAGCTACGCTCTTTGAAGAAATTTATTGCTCAGTTACGGGCTCAAATGGCATCGTAGTTGACTCAACCATAAACCCCAATTAAGTATTGAAGTGATGTTATTGCCAGTCTTCCAGTGCACCGATTGCGGACCAAGACGGAAAAAACTTGATTTGTCAGCATACGCCTGCCGACCTCTGACGTGGGCCGTTTCGTAATCGTCAGCAACTTTTTGCGCAGAACGGTACGGGCGGCCTTCACGGTATGATCGGAATCGACGTTAGCCAGTGGCAGTAAAAACATACTGAATACAGTTCTAGGAGCAGCGCGCACTGGTGACCGGGGGCGATTTCTATCACCACCAGATTTTACCGCTGCAGAAACTCGAACAGAGCGATCGGGTACCGGGAACCCCGACCTGACCTGGTCATGTCGACCTGACCTGACCTGACAACCAGGTCACGTCGGGCGGTGTGCCTGACGGCACCAGGCACTAGTCAGTCGCACCTTGTGCCACTTATCCTTTTCCAATGATTTAATAACAGCATAGTGTTGATTAGAGCTCAGCACCTACCCACCCTAGCCTCTCAGCCCTGGGGGCGGGACCAGGGGGGTACGCTCCGGCTGTTAAATTATGAAAAATGGTGACAGACGTTTGTGGAGGATTGTCGACGAACTCTTGTTCCGTGAGCAGTACTTACACGCTAGCGGAAAATTCACCAATCAGCGCTCGGCGGTACTCGACGCTGATTGGTCCGACGCTCGTGACGAAATTGCGGGGGACCGCAGTTATTCTCTATGGACCCGAATAGGCTTTTGGATTTCGGAGGGGTTTCTTTAAAATTATATGCTGTTTCGAGCTGTTTTCGAGTTGAAATATATTTCTTATGACTGTTACCTATATAATGGCACCATAAAATCATGATTTTGATAAATATTACCGATGAAATATCGGCCGAAAAGACATGCTGTCATGGTACGGACTGCCCTGCGGCTGATGTGGGGTCCCTAATGCCAGCGTATGGTAATAATGGGGTGACGAAGGGTTATTGGAGACTCTTAGAGCCCCATCAGCATTCAGCATAGGGTCATCAGAGGCCGGGAACGTCCATCAGGGGTCTGAGTAGGCCTGTCATAGGGGCATACATGACACATCATGGCCCATGGGTCAATGTAGATCCATGGGGCCGTTGAAGGGCCAGCATTGTTCAGCGTGGGCTCGCAATTACCTCTGATGGGCATATGCCGTGCCCCGATGGACTAACGCTGGCCCCTGATGAACCATCACCAGCCCCTGATAGGTCTACAAAGCCCACTGCTGGGTCTAAATTGGTCACTGATATGCCCAAATGGGCCACTGAGAAACCCGTACAACATCCCCTGACTGCACCTGCTGGACCGGTGCCGTCCTCTCATGGGCCCACCACAGCTCTTGAATGACCTTTTCAAGTCCCTTGAAGTGCCTTTATTGGCCTAAATGGCCCCTGATTGGCTTATGTGGTCCCTATTGGTCCTATATGGCCCCCATGAGCCCTCAACGTCCCTAGACGGCCTTACATTATATGTCACTGGGCCCTGTTGGGTCAGCACCGGCCCCTGATAGGCTTGCACTGGACCCACCGGGCCTATACCGACCCATGAAGGGCCTATGTCGAGCCCTCATGGGCCTCCGATGACCACACGCCGGCATGTGTGGCCCCATCAGCAGTGGTCCGTCTATCCCATGTACTTACGGTCTTTTTGGTCGATGTGACACCGGTAGTATATAGAAATGTTATAATTAAATGTCGTTATTACACAGTCAAAAGTCACAGAAAGAATATCCAAGCTCAAAAATGGCCTCAAACCCAACAAAAACTGGTACAAATCCCCTTCAAAAGCCGTAAGTCTATTAAACGCCATAGGGGAATAGCTGCAGTCCCCCGCAATTTCGTCACGAGCATCGGGCCAATCAGCGTTGAGTATTGCCGAACGCCGATTGGTCGATTTCCGCTAGCCTGTAAATGCTGCTTGCGGATATAGTTTTGAACAAAAGAGGGTCGCGGCTACTAATTATCGCTTGTCACCACTTTTTCGTCGGGAGCGTTCTACCTGGTTTATATAGCCTTGGGCGGGACCAAAGCCTTGGGCGTGATTACCCACCGCACCGGTTTCAACCGACCACATCCAGTCGAGGTGCGATTTGTGATAACAGTGGATAGACGGTGACGGTACCGAGAACTGCTAAAACCACTTTAAGCCTCCTCATGCAGCGATCAACATTGCCTAATTAGTGAAAGCGGTGTCCAAGGGTGTAAGACATATCCATCAACTACTCGTGAATGACACGCGCTATCATTTAGATTTAGAAATATCGACGCTTGCCTACCATGGATAAATTTGGACAATATATTATTTAAGTTTTAATTAATTGAAGAGTTATGAGATAGTTACGCTTGTCAGTGGGGCCATTCCATCCACGAGAGGTATCTGCTGTCTGGGCCAAGCACGCGGGCCGGGACACACCCACCTGACCGGGCAATATTGCACCGCGGGCACCGCTGCCAGCTGGCTCACCGGTTGAACACCGGCCACACCTCATACACCGGCCCCCGGCGGCGGTCAGTCAGGTCACGGGGTCACACGTGCCATAACAGGGGTCGGCGGAGACGCGGCGGCCATAGATCCGGAGCAGCACGGTGACAGGTTAGGGTCCCAGGTGAGGTCGGCACAGTGCCGACGCCAGATCGATTGACATGTCTGGGTGCACCGACCGGATTGATCCGACTCGGACCGAACGGTGGCGAGTGACACCGGTTCAACTGCCGGCTGAGTGAGCCAACAATGTCTCGAATTGGAGGATAGGTGTCATGTGGTGCTCATATAACGATACCATTATGAGACGCCCGACATGTTGGGTAAGATGAGACCAACGAATCGGTCACGCCGACCGCTTTAGAACTGGAACCCTAATAAACTGCAAGTAAGACTACGCCGAGCTATGTTGAATGATAAATAACCAGAATAAATTTCCGGACCGAATTCAGTAATTTCTTATAGGTATCCTGCTTCAGTACACACGGCATGCAAAAAGCACCTATTTTATTCTTCATGAAAATATTGTGCATCATTTTTTTATTATTAAATATACCTATCTATACATATCTAGCCAAAATTATGTATCACATTTATACTGTAGTGCTAAACACATTTGGATGTTGGAACCTAGGTACTGGGAATTGGGACCCTATTCGATGCTGCTGAATAGATCGCAAATCCCGGCCACTGGGGAACTGATGCATTGGGAAAGCAGTATGTATTCACGTTCTCAGATGATTGCTACTAGAATATTCTAGCAGATTTCTGAATGCCTCGGTAGGTATACAGAGGTCTATGGTCCCAGCATTTGTATGCTTTTCGACCGGTCAATTATATCGCACATATAAGCAATGAACATTGAGCAAGCTAAGTGCGTGTTACAAATTGATTAACCGCTGATGCGCATTACAAATCAGTTTGTAATGCGCATTTACTTTGCTCAAGGTCAAGGGTCAGCGGTAAATGATACCACCTGGTTACCACGCCGGCGACAGGTTCACTGCCAAACTTTCCGGCACCGAGCGCGATCAATACACGACCGAACGGCGCCGATAGCCCAGCCTTCAAAACACCCCTGTCCCACCCCAAACAGCCACGAGCGGCACTCACTTGAACTTGTCGCGCTTGGCGTACTTCCGCCAATCCTCGGGGTTGGAGACGTAGCCCTCCATCAGCCTCTTCACGTAGTCGACGTTGACGCGATCGCAGGAGAACACCCTGTGTAGTTCGTCCACCAGCTGGGTCAGGCTGGTCACCTTCGGCGGCGCCTTGAACTCCTCAATGTGCTCCATGGTGAAGGAAGGGGGTGTTGGACGCGCTCAGAGCTGTCGGCGCTGCTCGGTCAGCTGCGGTCGGCACGGGATCAGCTGTGGGACTGGGATCGGCGCCTCTCCGGTCAGCTGGGGAGGGCGGGTGACGGGACGCCGCGGCGGTGCTGTAACTCGGTCGGTACGCACCGGATGGAGCCGGTCTGAGCCAGATCAGAGTACGGGTCTGTGATGGTCACCTGTCGGCCGCCGGCGGGGGTCTGGAGACCGACAGACCCGCCGCCGTTCGGTCGATCTGCGCCGGATGCCCGTGACGTCACGGTCCGGCCCACCCAGCGGCGACGCTGATTGGTCGACGGACGGGGCCGGACTCTGGATGGATCCCAAAGGACGCAGTACCACACATTGTTGCGTTATTAAATTGCGTCGGTATATTTGTCTATGGGGATGTGCCAGTGCAACGTCCGCTGGTGGGCGAAACGGATCAGGTGTTGGGTAACACCCTTTACAGTGTGCCCACTGCCCAGTGCCCACCGAGAGCTGATGCGTCACAATTCTTCTGGGATTTGGAGTGGGAGGGTGGAACGGGCACAACCGCAGCATTAGGAACAGGATCCAGTCTGACAGCGGCAACTGAACACAGGACGGAGAGGAGTGAGGACAGGAGAGTAGAGACACAGGGCAGGATGAGGGCTGAACGGTATAACTGCGGCACAGGACGGTATAGCGGTAGCACTTGTCACGTTTAACGACGGAACAATAAAGATACAGGAAAATTGGAAATATTAAGAGTGTGATATACACACAACAGTGTAACGATAGGATAGACACACATGACTATAACGGTGGAATAGGTGACAGTATGGCAAACGGCGTTACAACAGACATAAGACTATAACGGAATAATTGACAAACGGACCGCTATATCGGCAGCTATAACGATACAGGGTGGTAGTACCGCAGACAATAGTCAAACTAGGCAGTAGCTACCTACAACGGCAAGATGAGTTTGCACATAAGGCGGTGACCATTGTAGTCGGTAGACAAATGACGGCTTTAGGTTCATTCCTTGGTTTAGCCTTGGTTCATTCGTCTAACAGAGCTGCATGCTGCATTTCACACGAGCGATGCATCACTTGTGTGCGGTACGGGCTCGATCTTGTCACAAAGCATACTAATGTGGGCACTGTGTTCCCGATGATAGTCAAAGGCAGCACAATATCCGAGAACGGCCATCTACTTTATCATTCGTTATTTTGTTGCCACGCAGATGAAAATATGCATGGCTTTTTTATAAATTTAGTCCGAACCTTTTTATGGGAAGGATTCACAAGGACAGAGCCACCGCTATGCGAAGCTTGTTGCGATGACCCTGCCCTCTACCCTCCGATCGCGCAATTCCGGTTCTATGACAGAATTTAGAGTCCAAAATTTAACGTGCGCACAAAGCCGCGCACGGCCGGTCCCCTCGCTGACTTCGCCTGGCTACGGCCTGCCACCAACCGCAGCCATACCTGTCAGGAGACCCATATATGTCGAGCGCCCGTCGCGCTTTGAACCCGGACTGTCATATCCGGGAACGCGTGCTCTCACCACGCGGAGTCCAACGCTCTAACTAACTGAGCTACGAGACTGGCTGTAGAAACAAGCTCATTTGTTTATCCTACAGCAGATGTGCAGCCCAGTCGAAGTTCTGAGGACGTTGCCTAACATCACAGCGAGTAGCCTGGAAAATCTCAGTGTTTCCCGGGCGAAACAGGTGATTTTCCACGCGACCCAGTGTGGAAAATCACTCGCGACGGGATGAAACGTCTGGAAGGCTCACGGCCAATCCAGACATTTTCGTCAACTGAAGATCTTCGTGCGCGTGGCCGGCCAAATGTTATCGTATGTGCAGTGTGCACTGCGTGCTATTCAAACGCCGAGACGCTTTTCAATGCAGCAGCCAGCAATGCATATTTTATAGAATGAAGCCCTTCCCGTAGTTACTTGCCAATAAGGGCACGAACCACACTGAATCAGCCGTCGTAGGCAGGGGAAACAGTTTCTGTCTCACAAACAACCAAATTATGGGCATCATTTACTCATCAAGTATATCCACATTTTGATGAAATCAACATCCCAAAAATGTATGTTGTTGTCAAGATGCATAAGAGCAAGTCTTTAACAAAATGATGAAAAAACTGTTCATTAGTCTTTGTCCACTACCCATTCGGACCTTTTCGATCATGTCGGAACTGTTGCAGTGTCGTTCTTCGCGGCCATAACCGACCGTCATGCGCTACGCCATGTGTCTCGCTCGCAGTCGCCTCACGCACTGTTTATAAGGTTTCGGGTGGGCGCGGTGTGGCACTTGGTGCACGAGTCACACAGCTGTGCCACTTTCAGCACCAGGCGTCTCGGTCGGCCCGGCTGACAGCTATTGACGACACAGTCAGCGGGCGGTGTTAGGGAGTGGTCCCCAGTGGTCACCTCCCCCGGGGGGGGGGGGGGGGCTGAGGTGGAAAACGCGTCCCACGCTGATGAGATGACGATACTGTATGATCACTGTACTAGTTAAATGAGGTGCACAAAGACTTCGTCTTGAAAAACGCTATATTCTGAGACGAAAATATCACATGAGCATCCTACTCCCCTGTCCGGGAAATGCAAGACCAACCTTCGAAACAACTTCGTAGCAAACGACGTGGAAAGCACTGTGGGCATTAGCACAGGGCAAGCACAAGCTCAATATACAAATATACAAATTAAAAAACGCAGCCACTGAAGGCAGAAGTAAACTTTTTCGCCATACACACATAACCGCATCTCAGGAACCGTCGCGGCACTGCGCTGCGACATTGCGGTACAGTTCACCGAGCATACACGCGATAGACGTTGGACAATAGAAACAGCACAGCACTGCAGGTCATAGAACGCCGTTCCTCGACCTCTGTCACACGTCACAACAAATGCCTATCAACGGCAGTTTCGATACAGTGTGATGGCTAGACCACATACCTTGATTGTCTATTCGCTGGAGGACCGAATAAAATGAGCACAAACAGGGACACTAAGCTGCAAGTGGAATTTTCCGTAGAAAGTAGGCTAAAAATATTTGGCATAAAAACGGCAAGATTCCTGGCATTTGTGTAATGCTGAGGGTCAGATCATGGCAGTACCTGAGTTTTGTGCCACGGCAACATACAGCAGCAATGAATGGCACTGTGATTCAGTCCTTGGTTATTGTCGGCTCACATTTACAAGTACAAACGTTGATGATGGGCTGCATTTGAATCACGCTGGTCTAATTCTTTTGACATCTACCAGCTCACCCGCTGCTGAGCCACCCACTGAGCCAACGGCCGACATCCGCTGGGGCACCCATTGACATATCCGCTGGGGCACCCAGTGATACACACCCGCTGAGGCACCCAGTGACTGATACACCCACTGGGACACCCTCCGGCTGCAGACCGGCCTCACCGTTCGAGATCCTCTCCGAGCGAGTCCGATCCGTCATGTTCTCAGTCCGCTCGGACAGCGGGTTCAGTCCGATTCACCAGCCTTTAGGGCTCTTGTACAAAACGCCCGGCCGGTCCCGGCTGCCCTCAGGGCGCCGTTCGGCTGCCGAAAGGGTCGTCCCGACGCGGCCGCACAGCCCGCGCCAGGGCGCTGATCCGGGGGTCGTTGATATGGTGCGGGCGCGGCCGCAGCGCCGCCAGGAAGAACACGTTGCCGGCGGCCAGGTCGACGGAGCACGGCTTCATACTCGCGTAGGCCGCCACCGCCGAGTCCGCACAGCCAGGTGGAGGGACTACACTGCGCTGCGGACGGGACGGCGGAGCGACGGTCAGAGGAGACGGTTAAAGACGGCCAGTGGGAGACGGTCAGTGGGAGACGGTCAGTGGGAGACGGTCAGAGGAAGCGGTCCACGAGACGGTCAGTGGGAGACGGTCAGTGGGAGACGGTCAGTGGGAGACGGTCAGTGGGAGACGGTCAGTGGGAGACGGTCAGTGGGAGACGGTCAGTGGAGACGGTCAGTGGGAGACGGTCAGTGGGAGACGGTCAGTGGGAGACGGGCCACGAGGCTGCGAGATGACGATAAAAGGAGATAGTTCCCTTTAGACAGCAGACGAGCAGTGTGAGTGGGGACACAAGGGGAATGGTACTAGTGAGGGAGCAGAAGAGCGACTCCAAACCCGTCTGACCACAGCACTTTCGTAACCAGCCTGTACATCATCTAACTCAGATCAGTGTGTTGGAAAATAGTGAAAGTTGTAAGCATACAAAGATTTGACACGAAATCAATTGTTGACCGCAAATGTCTGAGTAAACCCTCTTACTTCATCTAATTCACACATCGTGATAACGCACAATTTGTCGGATGGGTCGCCGACAAACGTTACTCGAGTGCTTTCCCCGGTTTCGAAATGAAAACAATTGAGGTTTGATTCTTGCATATAGTGTTAACATTATTCCAAACAAAAACTGAAAGCTTGTAACAAATATATCACTAGTTATGTCAAATCAAATAGACATCTATTTTAACGCCTCAGTCCAAAAACATGGTTCTGAATTTTAAAAAAAGTAACTCGAAAATTGCCAGGTAAGTTAGAAACTCGTACGGCAAAAAGGGAGAAACTGTGTTCCGATAGGCATCATCCTCAGAATCCTCATTAGTCATTACCACTTTGTAGATTGCTGAATAACTGAAAATGAGGATGTAACCTAGACGAGTATCTGTTAGCCGTGTAACTATCCCCACCTCAGTACCCGTTTGCCGAGTTACTGCCGCCTCACCCTGAGTATTTGTCCGCCGACGTTGTGCTGCAGCGGCGTCGGCGCAAAGCGCAGCACAGAGTCGGTCACCCACTCGCGGTAGCGGCGCTGCCAGCCCAGGTAGCGCACCAGGTAGCGCCGATAGCTGAGCGCGTCGTCCACGCACACAATCTGACGGCCACACAGGGAACAGTGACGGCCACCAAACAGGACAACTCCTTCCACTCCTTACTCACAACCTTACTCCTTCCACTGCCACCTGCTTAGTACCGCTTAGTACCGACGCTTTGGTACCGAACAAGAAAGGACGTGACTACTAGTCAAGAGAACGACTACAGTGAAGTTGGACGCTTGGGTCGCAAGGCTACGCGTCCTATTCCAACAACAACAACAACAACAACAACAACAACAACAACAACAACAACAACAACAACAACAACAACAACAACAAACAGGACAACAGCTATGACAGTCCCGACCAGGATAACACAAATGGGACTGGCGATA